GGATCTTTGTGTTAATTTGGAAATAAAGATTTGTATGAATGTATTAGTAAGTTTCAAGAGATTTTTTAATGTATGGTGGCTAGTTTTTTATTTTTAATTACGTAGCTATCGTGTTTACCGTTAAAATAATTGGTAGAATTCAGTTACTGTATCATAGCAATTTGAAATATAAACAATTTTATTGTACTTATTTCTATTTTCTGGTAGAGAATACATTGTGACGTCAAAAGCTCAGTCCCACCCATTTATAAATGTCACTTATTGAGATTTAGTAGTAAAGACAGGACTTGTTTTTACTTAGAAAGCTGATGCACGTTGTTTTATCATTTAATCAATTGCATTTACTATTCTGCTTGCACGTAATAATCGCTGTTCACCTCTGTAAACAAACATTTGCTATTCTGTGCACGTTTCAAACTCACTTCGCAGTGCTCTGACCTGATAAGTGTATATATTTATTTACTCACTAATTATTTACAAGAATTATTCATTCTATTATTTACATATATAGACTATGCTTTTACTCGCAAAGCTGTTGGACTTTGTTTTACTCATCTAGTATTTTATCATCTCATTTTACTATTCTGTTTACATCAAATAACGGCGGTTCACAACTGCGAAACTTAAAAGTTGCTATTCTGTTTACGTTTAAAAATCACATTGTAGTGCTTTCATTGACGCGGAAAAAAATTCGCCAAATTTTGAAGGCCAAAATAGTTTGGCGCCAACTGACCCCGCTTATGGAATTTTAGCCGAATATTGAATCGGAAGATGTAAAAAGGGGCTATGCGACAACTAGCTCATTCCTCTGTCAGAAGACTTTTCAGGGGAGCTTTTATCAAGAATATCGGGAATTCTTAGGATTTTATTCAAAGGAGTCAAAAAGAAAAGTATTATTAGATTGGGTGACTTTGTTTTAATCGATAGCATAGATAAAAAACTATTTTTTGGCCTCTCGCTTGTATTACATCTACATAAGAACTAATGGATTAAACCGTCTAGCAAGGATACAGACTCAGAATTTCTGCTTAGTAATTTGAAATTTCTGCTATTCCTAGACTTAGAATTTCTGTTAAGTTTTATGGAGATTACAGAAGGTGTTATGGTAGTAAAGCCTGCAAAACAAGGCTATAGAGGATTTAAATTTAGATCCTGAAATGTCTAGTGATAATGCTCAGCAAGTAAGACATACAACAGTAACTCATTCTAATAGGAATGTAATTCCATCAGAGTGATTAGTCAATACGAAGATGCTCACTGCATTAATTTTTATGTTACAATCTTGTGATTTCTTTTATGATTTACTATGTTAGTTAATTTCGTTTAATTTAATTAACTTAGGTCGGAAGGTGAAACTAAAGTTAATTTTCATATTTTGGATCGACAAGGTATAGAAAGCTATTTTCTAGCCTTGATACTGGCGAAAGTGAACAAGCAGCAGGCAGAAAGTCTGCGAGAAGTGGTCCAGAGGTTAAGTGGTGTCCAGAAACTGGAACAACAAACTTGAATTGCCTAATTTCCAGCCGATAAACTGCAGTAGTAGTTGTGATTGCCCAAGTGGCTGTCGATGAGTTCAATGAGTAGGTTATAGCATAACCAGCATCTCCGCTTAAGATTTTAGTTTCCATCTGTTATGTTTCTTCCGAGTTTTAGAGAATAACCTCATGCTTATTAGAAATAATTAGCTTTTCTATAAAACTAAGTTATTCGAAGTTAAATAATTTAAACTTTACACTAACCTGAGAAGGAACTACAGATACAACAAATTTTGGGCATTCCTTGCTCCGCGAACTTAATCGCACTACAAGTCTCTCCACTCCTCAGAATAAGGCGCGGAGGTTCAACCTCCGCTCTGGCCCCTCAGAGAGAGAGAGAGAGAGAGAGAGGCGCACCGCCCGGGACATCTCCCAGACGGCACTGGTCGTTAATTTGATACCTACCAGTCGCTCGGGCTGCCCGTCGCAGCGGGACATTACCCAGCGTACCCGGGGATGCTATTCCTGGGCTACTAGAGCCAGGACTAGAACTCGCTAGGACAAGCCAGATCCCGAGGCCGGCCAATAAGTGACCTTTCCTTGGGTCTTCCAAACCACCAAGTTCATAAATTTTATCCCCCGTGGCCGAGGCTGTCTAGGTACAGATCCTAGCCAGTAGCTTCGCAGAGTTCTCTACGTCGACCCCGAGGGGGGGGAACTACAGATACAAGATAAGTAAACTTTAAAACTCCAGTTCCAAAAAATATTCGACTAATCAACAAACAAACAAGGTGTTACTTTAGCTCCCAAAAGGAGCCTCTTTATTCTTTTACCTTTTGGAGAGGAGTATTTTGATCTTCGTAGCTTTTAAAGCTGTGTTTGTTTTTTGGAAGGCTAAATTTGGATATCTCATTCAAGTACAGCTTTCCAGAATTTTAATTATACAAAATGCGTTTAGAAGGGAGTTGATGCTGAATTTAAAATTTTCTAAAAAAATGTTAATTACTTTTTATGAAGTAAAAAAGAATTCTGTAAGGTAGTCAAGACGATCTTGACCCTTTTAGTCAAGAAATTGAAAAAAAATTACGAATTACGTCAGAAGTTTAAAAAATCACACTGTTAGTTACAGTTGAAATGGTCATATTTTAAGGACGACTGAAAAAATAAGAGAATAAAAAGGAGAAAGATATCTATTCAGTCAAAGAAACTCCAGCAGCATCAATGCATTGTTCTAACGTGTAGTAAGGTCATTTTTACCGTATTTCTAAAACCCCGTATTATGGAAGCGATGCAGTCCTCTGTCCGAGAAATTGATGAAACTTTGGAAACGTATTTCTTGGAAAAAATGTTTCAGGTGTCAGAAAAAATGGTAATCTATTGGAGAAATGTTAGAAGAGCAAAGCCAGACAAAAGTTTACATTCCAATGTTGATTTGCTTCATGGGTCACATTGACTCTATGTCCACTTACAAGTACTAGTTGCTACAGCCTTAAATTTATCATGAATTTGCCACACGTCTTGTAAACTACATTTATCGTTTCACTTTGTGGAAGGAATTAGTAATGAACAACTCCAAAGATACCCATACAGTAAACAACATATTCTTAGATACAAAGTTGTTTTTGAGATCTTTCTTATCCAACCGCTGCGACTAAATGTAGCATCGTCGTAGGAACACCCACTTCACATCTACAGCCACAGTTCGTTGCAGGAACCTTTCTTTTTTACTTCTTCAGTACGGAAAAATAACACTTCCAAATTCCGTACTTTATTTCCATCAGTGAGTTCGTGAAGCATTCACTTATCGAGATTTTTTTGTTTTCCTTGTCATTTTCAAATGTTGTGAAACTTTGAGAGTATAGACATAGTATTTGGGAGATCCATCGTATAATTTGCCATGAATATGATTCAATTAAATCCTTTCATTTACTCGAATCAGCAGAAGGCCGCAGAATTTTGCAAAGCGAAATTTTGCAAACCAACGGTGAATGGATACTTTAACTGACTGGATTCAATGACAGACGTCGGTAGTTTAATGTTGAATGAAATAAATACTACATTTCGGTGGCACTGTCAATGACAAAAAGAATTTTTATAAAACTCAGCGCTTGCTTTCTTCTGCAAACAGTAGAAACCCGACTTCATTCAACAGCCAAAAACATAGTAACGTTTATTAAGAAAAGCTAACATACGGTTTATTAGACAATTAGTTCTTCTAGTAGAGTACTGTAATCTTTTGAAAAACAAAACTACTCATTAGCAAAAGAAATCGTCAGTTAATATTAACTCCATTAACATTTTCTGGCAATTAGAGCCATTTTCTGACAAACGTTATATTGTTCGAAAAAGAAATCAAACATTTCAAGATAAATCTTCGAGAATTGCTTAGAATTTTTCATGGTTCATGTATCTATAAATATTATGCAATATAAATGTGATATATTGCATGCAATATAAAATGACGGTAAAATTTATATTATAAAATAATTTTTTTTTGTAATTTAATACTCCAGTTTTCAATTATTTTATCGTGAATCAAACCGAAACAATTTAAACGAGCTTAGCTGCATATTAGAAATCTGCATTCCTATTTTACAAGATATTGATAAATCACCTCATGAAGTTCTACGATGTAAACGTTAACGGCTATGAGCAAAGTGGCCTTTTCACCTGTTTAAGAAGTGAAAGAAGTAAATGAAAGAGAGTAAAAGTGCTCCCTCTCATTTCTATTTCTGATTAAATACGGTACATTTGATGCTGCTATTCAAAGAGTCAGTGCCTTCGATTCCTGAGGTGTATGGGCGATTCCTGTCCTAATCGACTAAAACTGCTGGATCATCCTCATGTCCAGCAGTTAAAGAATGTCCTGCTACCTGATCCTTTATTGAATAAAAGGAAGCGGAGTCTACGTTGTCAGCTTTAATGCCCGAGTTCCTATATATATATATAAAAGAAGAATCTACTGGAAGATTAAGCAATGAGAATTGACTGAAGCTAGTAACTGAGGCTCATTAAGAATGTGTTGAGACAATAATACTGTTTGTTACGTGTTTATTACTTCTGATTATTACTTAAAGTTATAATCATTTTTTATATTTTTTATCTAAAAGTATAAAATTTTTAGCATGCACATTGTCAACATTACTTTTTAGGATTTAATTTCATGACCGTCTTCATTAACTTTGAAGGAATGGGCTTGTATCATAATTATTGCAATTTTCATTACAGATATAAGGAAATTAGAAATAATATTGACTTTATTCATACATTTTATAATTTTAAATGTATTATCCTAAGTTGTGTTTAATGTTAGTTGACGATCAAAAGAGCACTTTACATTGCACAAAATACTTTTTGAAGTATTTTCATGGTTTATAAGATCTGATCAATTTTAAAAAGAAAAGAAATTTTTGCGAAAAAATAGTTTTTAACGAGAAAGTGAGTAAGACAATATTTGAAAAAAAAAAAAAAAAAAAAAAAAAAAAAACTATGATAATAAGGTAACATGAAATGAAAGGGGGAAAATGACAAGAAAATTCTTTTTTATTAAAACCATTTAGATAAGAGAATATGGATGCAGTTTATATGTAGCAGATGTACCAGTTCATAAATTTTAAAATTCTTCACATTTAATAATGTCTCCAGTGACATAACAGAAAAGAAGACAAAGCTCTGTAAGTGTACTCGGGTAAATAACATAAATAAAATAGACATTCATAAATATTTACTTATAATCCCTTAGAGATCTCAAAATGATTAAAAAACTCGTAAAAATTAATTTCTTTCTGAGCAGTTTCCCAGATTTTTTTGATTAAATTAATTTTTGCTGTTGTGTATCAGAGAACGTTAAAAGTAGAGTTTATTATAGGTGGATACATAATTGCTGTTTTCTGGCAAGCTTGCATATATTTAGAAGTTTCATAATCCATGTAATGAACTTCAGTCTCATTTACGCTAAAAGTATGATTATTTACAGGTTGAAACACTTCTTGCGTATACGTGACCAGTCCTGGCTCGTGGTTCAGCAGCAGTTCATCTTCCAGTTGACTTTTGCACATACAAGGAATGGTACTAAAATGAAACAGAAAATAGGAAAAATTATAGTGTTTATAATTATTAAAAATGTAACTACAAATTGCATTTAAAGATTTTATTTTTAAGTTTCATTTTTAAAGAAATTTTCTGTACTTGTTCATTAGAAAGGCACAAAAAATAACAAATGATGCTTTACCATATTGTCAACTACTACATTGCCGAGCGATCAAAAGTAACCAGCTTAGTAATTATATGAAAATATAAACAAAAGTTTTAATTTATATCTTTAAATTAACCATGAAAAATGTTAGGTTAAATTTTAAGGATGAAAATTTGAGATTTAACCTTCTTCTGAGAAAGGAGCTGTAAACGTTTCTTCAATTAAAAAAAAAAAAAAAAATAGAAACCCTGACACTGAATCTGAGTTGTGAAAGTAATATAGAAATGAAACTGTAATTCACTGATGGAGCTCGATGCCGAAGCAATTTATTATTCTGCCTCAGCAAAAAAAGTCATATACAGCGGAGCATGGCTTGAATCTTTTCGACAACCTTTTCTCATACTTTTGAGGTTTGTTTCCTGGCGTGAGAAACTGAGTTTAATAAATGGTATGAGAAAAAGTATAAAAGTGTCAAGCCAACAGTAATAGATTAGAACATTATTTATTTCAAGTCTGTTCCAAATCAATACAAAAACGCCAGCAACAAGAAAATCAGAGATCTCCATAAAAACCCTCTTGAGTTTTTTGATGAGTTTTATGAAGTTTATATCTTTTTCCAATGTCTAATTCTTTACCGTTCGGTCACTGGTGGACCCCGGTGAGGAAGAAGCTGCTTTTGCACGTTTTCTTCTTCAAAACATTTTTAATTTGGTAATGGCAATGGAACTAGAATGTAATGGACGCTATCCCATCATCAGCTGGATTTGAAGAACTACGTCCCTAGTCACTTTGTAAATGTGGAAGAAGGTAAATAACAATTGCATTCTACCACGCGCTTTCTTCTAATGTAAGTAGTAAGTACATCCAAGCTAATAACTGAATAATGCGTTCTTGATGTTTCAGATTTCACGCAAAGAAAATCCTTAGAAATCCTGGATGTGTAACAGTTTCTTTAAGAAAGTATTTTGCTTCTAAGTTAATATACCAGAGTACTTTGTTGTAATGAATAATCTTATGCAAAGACTTACTTTAATATAATCATATTTTAAAGCTTACTCACCTGAATACGAGCACTAGTATTTCAAGTACAATGGAAATGCAAAGGAAGCAAAAAAATGTGTAATCTGGTTTATCTTGAAAGCACAGATAAAGTAATGCTACGCTAAGAATGAGCAAGCCAGTGATGGAGAATATCTTTAAGCTCACGTTGAAAACAAGAATTTCGTCTCTACGAAGCGCACTTCCTGGCCTTCTTTTGCTAAGACCTTGTGCAAACCAGGTACCGCGGCACTTTTCCATGCCTGAAATAGAATAAACATTTTAAGCTGCGTTAAAAACTGTAGCGATGGAATTCATGCTTGAATTAAAACTGTTATGAAGATGTCAGACTTTTCAATCACACATTTATCATCGGGGTTACAGGTTACGGAGGACGGGGACGTCTGGTGTCTAATATAGGTAAACAGGAGTATGTCTCCCGCCCTCCCCTATCTAGCGGCAACAACTTCCTGGAGTCCCAAGAGGCTACGTTGGGAGTTTATTGAGACATGAAAAAGTTATACATGGCCAAACAAGGACGCTCGTGTTTTGTTTTACAGATTTGGAGAAACTTTGACTGAACAGAAATGGCAAGGAAACAAAAATGTTGCAGAATTAAAAAAAATCTTCAGATTTTAAATTACGTCCAAAGGGGTGTTTTTTTAACTTTTTGTGTGTTATTTTCATTTATTAAATATCATGTTTTTTGCACTTAAAGCATAAAATTCAGTTCAGTAGCAATGTCGCAAAATAATTTTAAAATGAGCATATCTTTAGTATTTCCGATACACATTCCCACACGGTGGATATGAAAAGTTTTTTTCCTCCCCGTAGAGTGTTGCCATTGTCCGCTTTTTAATCGTTGAATTTGTTACTCAAAAATTCGTTAAAGTTCTACAAAATATGAAATCGATCATAAAACAAATTCTAAATTTCAAATTTGATCTTCCACATACCCATATTCGTAGGAGGATTAAGTTGTTCAAAATTCGATGGCTCTATGTACCGTTGTTATTTTATCACAATGCGAGAAATATACATACATTTCTGCAGATTTTTATATATTTAATTTCTTCAAACATAATGCAGGACTCTAACATTTGGTGGCAACAGTTTGAAAAGTGAAACGGACATTTATAGTGATTCAACGCAAAATCGCAAAACGAAAACAATAGTCCTTCAGGGAGAAAGCCCCTTTGGACTAAAAAAAAAAAGCAAGAGCAAGAGTTAAGACATGCGAAGAAATATAATTAAGGCATGTGTTGAGCTAAGCTGCTAGGATAATGACCTAAACTGGCATGTAGTGCATAATAAGTTGAGTTCGTAGGGCATAGATAACACAAGCGTTTGCACATAAGGTTGTCCACGGTTGCGTAGTTCAATATGTAAACAGTTTGCACATGTGTATAGTCGCAAGTAATTCGCTGTTTGCGCGTGTTATTCATAATTTGCACATAATTTACGGTTTCTTGAAGTCTCTGTTTGCGAACATGCACTTATAAGCTCGCAGTACACAGATCGTTGTGAGAATTTTTACAGAGGAAACAGGAGGGTGCAGCTGGCTGTGATTGTAGTGAAGCAAATATCTGCAGTTGCAGTACACGAAGATGCACATTTACACACTCTGCAGTTTCGCACTTTGCGCATTTACACAGTTCGTGTTTTCGGTAAACACAGATCGTAGTTTACACAGTAGCACAGTTCACATAGTTGTAGTTTACATAAATTGTAGTAGTTGTAACAGTGGAGTGAACGCATTGCATCCTGTGACAATTGCATGGAGTTTCATGGAACCTAAAATGTTTGAAGTCGATGCTCTTTGGTTGCTCTTGTAGATCATGTGGTGGGCTGTTACTGGGAAGCTGGCGAGGGTTTAGTATGGCTGGCACACATCTTGGCTCATGGAGGTTAATGCGTCGATGGGTTTGCAGATTTGTGTTATTGTTGGCTTAGTGCTGATAATGTAGTGCTGGAAAGCCTCAGTTATTATTGTAGGGTGCTTAATATGAGGTAAGGTTGTCAGTGGGCAGTGGAAGATGTAATGACCGGGTGCTCCTTCTCGGCTGCAGATGCAGGTGTCCGTGTTGGAGATATGGTGTCTGAAATAATATGAAGGGAAGAAGCCGTGTCCAGTGACATATCTTGTGAGTTGTGGTGTTGCAATGAGACGGCCCGTTGACAATTTTAGAAGGAAGATATAGGTTGGTTTGGTTTATTTAATTATGGCAAAGCTCACAAGGGCTATCTGCCTAAGGGGAGGAATGCCTTCGTGGAGGACTTTCTAAGGAAAACTGGCTTATATACACGTTACACATGGGGAAAACCACGAAAACGCCCATCCAAGCAGCCCGTTCGCGCGATTCGAACCTTGGACCGAACTACCAGTGTTCAGCGACTTTACCGCTCGGCCATTGGTGGGTTGAAGGAAGATATAGGTACGGCAACCTGTTTCACTTGTGTTCTATTCATGTTGCCACTCTCTGAAGAGTGCTTGATGCAATATTGATTTTAGATGAGACGGCGGAGCTGGGGTGTTCTCTGGGTGGGCATCGGTTCCGTTGGCAGCTTCCTTTGCAGGACGTCTGCAACCTCGTTGCCCTCTGTGCCCTCGTGCGCCTTGATCCAGGTTAGTTGAATGTTGTTATATCTGCTGGGGTAAAGTTGACTTTGTATGCCCATAATTACAGGTGATGTGTGGCGGTGATTCAGGATGGCATGGAGAGATGATTGGCTGTCGGAGCAGATGTAAATGGGATGCTGTGGGGTTCTTGTAGCTTGTTGTAGTGCTTTGTGGATGGCTAGTGCTTCGGCTTGGAAGACACTATTATGTTGGTGGAGTTGGCCTTTCCAGCGGGAAATCTTTTGATTGTGGTGATAGAGTACGTAAGAGTTGCCGACCCTTTTTCTGTTTTGAATCCATCTGTGTAATATGTGTAGGCATTTGCGGGGATCATAAGAGGTTGGTTGGTAGAGACAGTGATGTGCATGCTGATTCCTTTACAACTAGGATTTAAGTGAGAAGCTGTGCTGGGGCGTTCATACGTTGCAGGGCTGTAGGTGGTACCGTGGAATTTGGCATCCTTGCGGAGCTGTAGAATTCTTGTAAATACGCTCTCTTTCTCCGCTCGCAGGTGTAGAGGTGGAATGCTAGCCAAGACTAATCAGCATTTGTGGCTGTAGTGCGGTAGCCCTTGCTCATCATGAGGGCGAAGGGAAGTTGTATAATCTGAAGTTGCTTTTGTTTGCGTCCTTGCATGGGTGTGAACCAGATGGCTGCAGCGTAAAGGACGATGCATTCGACTACTGTTTGATAAAAGATTTTGGTAATGTACGGGTTTTGTCCCCAATTGGTGGATTGAAACTGCCTTGATTTGAGAGCTGTTGCATTTGCTGTGCTGCTATATTTATCAACAACGCTAACAAAGAACTTAAAAAAGTTTATTAATTATAGAAAGCAGAAATTAATGACAGTTGAAATTAACAAAAATAATGGCCGATTTCTCTAAACTTCGTTAGGCTCAATCACAAAAAAAGGTATAGGGCATTTTAAAAAGAAGAAGAAAAATTATTCAAATATTAGGTATTTTACTTGAAATATGTATATAACAATATATAGATAGGTATAACGAAGATAGTGTAATAGCATATTGATTGAAGGGTAATGCTTTAAAATATTATAATTATATTTACATATTGATGCAGTTCTTTATCTACATTAGAAGGTGCGTTTGAAACGTTCATTGAATGGATACATACCTCACAAACAATGCGAATTAAAAATGCGTTCCAGCGCAAGCACAGGTAAAGACCAATGGAGAGACGGTACGTAGTAAGAAGCGCAAGAACTATAGGTAGAATAGTCTCCTATGTGTATGTTTAAAAACACGCCACAAATTTAAACGCAGCAACGGATAATTATCAAGTTTTGCTACAAATTGGGAAAAACCGCCACAGAAACCTATATTGGTTCAGGTGTACGGAAGACGCAGTGAGCAAAAATGCGTGTACAACTGGTTTAAATGTTTCGGGAGGGAAAGGAAATCGTAGATGACGAATCACGTTCAGGTTGACCCTCAACAAGTGTGACGACTGACAAAATCGAGCGGGTGCGACAGATGCTCTTAAACATTCGCCGACTGTCTTTATGATGGATATCGGAGGAATTGGGAATCAACAAGGACAGTGTTAGTTCCATCATTCACCAATATTTGGGTAAGCGCAAGATCTGTTTCCGTTTTGTGCCTCACTCATTGTCCTACGAGCAGAAGGAAACACGAAAGCATGCTGCTCAAGATTTCATTGACACGTGCGACCAAGATTTAATCTGTTTGCAAACAATAGTCATAATAGATGAGAGCTGGTGCTACCAGTACGATCCAGAGTCTAAACGGCAAACAATGGAATGGTGCTCACCAGCTTCTCTGAGCCCCCCCAGGGGGAATGCGATTCATACCAGTAGTCTTTTGTTTTTTGCATGCGCGAGAGCCTTGTGAAATTCAGAGCGAGTTAGTTGGCCCATCTCAGAACGAACATCGGGCGCCGTCCAGAATTATCTGAGTTTAAACGTGGTCAACTAGCGGTCATTTGCTGGTCGCATTCCCGTGTGGAAATAGACCTTGCCGTGGTCTGGGGGCTCCCTCGAAAGAGGGTCTAACGTATTTCCACTAGCCAAGTAGCAGGTCCGGTGAGAACCCCAGGGTACCGGACTTGTGAACAGCAGCCACTGCGTAAGTTGGGCCCATTTACGGTTCATGCAGTGGTCCCTGTGTTAGGACATATCCCCTACACGTCATCTTGCGCCCAATTACAACACAAGGCAAGATGGCACGTCGAAAAGAAACCGGGCTGGAAAGTCGGGCTGAAACCTCCAAAGAGCAAACGGAGGGTCCGGCGACGAAGGCTCGAAAAACAGATAGTGTCATTACAACAGACAGTGAAAGTGACAGTGTGAAAGATGTAAATAATCAAAGTTCAAATGTAAAAAGTGCTAATGCAGAACTGTTAATAGACGAAGCATATGAGTGTTTAAACACCCTAGAAGGAATCCTAAATAATGAGAAAATCTCAAAGAAACTAGGAAAATCCATTAAGGATCAATTTACATCGTTGTTGATGTTAATGACAAAACAAAATCTACGCATGGCGTACTTGGAAGGACTTGTGGAAAATACACAGAACATAGAGGACTATATCCAAGGAGTGGTAGAGACTAAAACACAAAAAGAGACTTATGCAGATAAAGTTAAATCTAATGCTCAAAGGC